CTTTTGCCGGTCTCGAGATGAAAAATCGGTACAGAGGCCCAGCGCACACATAGACACACAGACACACACACAGACACATAAACAGCCCTGTAGCTTTTGTGGGTCTCGAGATGAAAAATCGGTAGAGACGCGCAGCGCACACACAGACACACACACAAACAGAGATGAAAAATCGGTACAGACGCGCTGCGCACACACAGACACACACACAAACACACACACATACAGCACGCACACACACACACACAGACAACCTCTCGTCAATATGCGTTTTCTGCATTGCATAGCTGCAAAAAACGCGGCTGTTACACAGCACAAAACGCATAAAAATCGGTACAGACGCGCAGCGCACACACACACGCACAAGTCCCCAAAGTTTCAGCTCCGTAGCTTTTGCCGGTCTCGAGATGAAAAACCGATACAGAGGCCCAGCGCACACACAGACACATCGCAGCTTTTATAGGTCCGGAGATGAAAGTGCGTGACAGACGCACACACAGGCACACAGACACACGAACACACAGACAACCTCTCGTCAATATGCGTTTTTCGCATTGCATTGCTGCAAAAAACGCATAAAAATCACACAGACAACCTCTCGTCAATATGCGTTTTTCGCATTGCACTGCTGCAAAAAACGCATAAAAACGGAGGAAATATATAACAACAAAAAATCGAAACACAGACAACCTCTCGTCAATATGCGTTTTTCGCATTGCATTGCTGCAAAAAACGCATAAAAACGAATTTAAGCCGACTGCAGCAATCGGTTGACCTTGGAAGCCTAAATAACGAAGGCGCGATGGACTACAGCGTGAAAGAATAGTATGAGAAAAGAAGGTAAGAGTGAGATAAGACGCTTCGGTCCAGCATCACTAACAGATAAGACTTTTCGGTCCGCCTTTTCAGATTATTGCATGCCCCTACTAATCTGATTCGATCCTACCAAATTACTCAAAAAATGTTACCTTGGAAGAGTACAACATAAAGAAAATTTGAGCTGGCCATATGGGAAAAATACAGCGAAGACCGAGCGAAGAACAATACAGGATGGACGCCCAGGCAATGCTAGAAAATCCACAATTCCACAAGTTAAATCTAAGAACCCAGATAAGAGTGAGATAAGACGTTTCGGTCCAGCATCACTAACAGATAATACGTTTCGGTCCACCTTTTCAGACTATAACATGCCCCAACCAAACTGCTTCCACCCCACCAAACTACTTGAAAAAATATTATCTTTGAAAAGTATAACATAAGGAAAATTTGAGCTTGCCATATCGAAAAAATACAGCGAAGATCGAGCGAAGAACTATACAGGATAGCTGCCCAGGCAACGCTAGAAAATCCACAATCCCACAAGTAAAACCCAAAAATCCATTTAAAAATCTACATGGAATTTGCCCGGATCAGAGTGGCCAAAACAAGAGAAGAATGGAGAAGTTGCCAGCTGCACCAATGATGGCAAGAAAAATAATGGATTGAAACAGAAGCCGGTCAAATTGTCAAAACAATTGCTGATTCAAAAACACTCGAAATATACGTACCATTGCGATTTGAAATCTTTCATAACATCCAGAAAACTGACATAAACATCCGGTGCCTCAGCAAATTGTTGCTTCACCTGATCCAAATAATACAATGCATCCTCAACACGTAATCTCTAAAATTTGCCCGGTTCAACAAAATTGCTTCCAACTGCTAAGCTCAGTCCGCCTTGCCCAAGTTGCCCTTCAATTCCATATGTGATATGCAAATGTCCCGTCTCCTGACTCGAGTTCTCCTGCCTCTATGATATGCAATGATGTGATTAGAAATGAAAGAAGTGATTGTTTTTCGGTGCCAAATAATCGTGCGCTGATAGCTTGGAGCTGTTGCTGAATTTTTCTGTGATTTCTTTCTGTTTTTTATGCATTTTGTGCTGTGTAACAGCAGTACAAAACCCATATTGTCACCAGG